TCTAAACCAAAATTGGGGTTTTTTTAGTAAAAAGGTGATTAAAAACCCCATATAGTAGTTTCCCTTCCCGTTTGGGAAAGATCTTTTCAAAATTTTTCCAGTTTCACCAAATAAAGAAAAATAGGGGCTAAAGTTCCCCTTTGGGTTTTTGATGTTTTTTATTGGGCTTGCAAAAAATCATCTTTGCATCTTTAAAAAAAACTGGAAAAAAGTCCTGAGGCCAAGATGGCATTAAAGAAAATTAACCAAAGGTTTTTACAATTTCGGGTAGGAACTTTAAATTTTCTTCATTGTTATTCCAAGAGACCCCGGGGCTCAAAATTTTGCAATTTTTCCAATAACCTACTCCAAACTCGATAATGTTTAAAAGGGCTAGTAAGCGGGGGCGTCTTCAAGAGTGATGTAACGATGGGAAAGGGTTTTAGATCATCTAATTCTCAACTCTCCTTCATTTAAACCCAAAAAATAGTGATTATTGTTTAAAAACGACGACTGTTTTTGTGGGAGAGAATTTTCTCCCAAACATCAACCCCTCAAATTACCTGGTCCTTTTGGATCCAAACAAGTTTTTTAAACTCAACATCTTCATCACCTTTATCATGAAAGGGAAGAAAGTATTAGGAGCCTTGTGCTTTTCCCCTAACTTTTTGTCGAATCTTACCCAAAATTTTTGCGGGTAAACTTTATACTGTTTACTTGGAGAACTAAAATTTCATAAGTCAGTTTGTGAGCAATCAAGTTAATTAATTCTTGCCTAAATCTGGTATTTAGTTTCTGGGGGTTGTCGCGTTTGAAGGCCTCGCATTCGCTTGAATTTCTTAAAGCATCTCAATTTCCCTATGGGTTTTTAAATGGTTGATAAATCTTTGTGAAGCAAATTTTGGCAATTTGCATTAGTAATTTAAATTATTCGATTGTAAAGGGACCTGATTGCGTAAATCAATTGAGCGAAAGGTAGTTTTTTCCAACGAAAAAAAATTTCATCTTCCCCCCAAAATGCCCTGAAGGGGTAAAATCCGGGGTGTTTAAGTTTGGGTTTAGGAGTTACGGGTATCTAAATGGAGAATTTGTAGTTTATATAACGGGGGATAGGCAGATCCTCTTTCCACCAGGGAGATACGACAATGAAAGAGGCACACCCTCTTTTGTCAGGATAAACTGGTTTTTCCTGGGGGGGCCCAAATCGTTTTAAAAAGAAGGGCCTGAAAAACAATTTCGGGCTATCATGATTTTAAAATATTGTTTTCCTTTTAAGTCACCCATGGATTACCACTCCACAGTTAAAGAGGGCAGGGGGATGAGATTAAAACCCCGCTAGAATTGTTGGAATATTCTGCTTAATACCTATGCAGAGGAATTGACTCTATATATTGTTGTCTCGGGGGAAAATATCAGTTCCTATCACTAGTTGGCCAGAGACGTTGTCATTTCCATTGCAAGAATGTTATTTTCATCAATATGAATATTTTTTAAATGTATAGCCTAATTTAACTAAGATGGCTACCCACTATGGGGTCCTCCCCCGATTTCTCCACAGTAGAGTAACCAAGTAATTTAATATGTTGATCAACTCTTGCAGCTGTCTCATTCAAGAGTATAACATCGGAATTATAATTATGTAGTTCAACTTCAAGGAGGTAACGGTTATTAAAGAAATGTTGAATATTAAGTTGGAAAATTGTAATCCCATTATTTCTTGCTCTTCGGACTTGTACTGCGGACTGAACGCCTGCAAGTAATGTCATGTTTGGTATACTCACTATCCCTGCTGGACTCGTCAAGGGGAGGAGGGAAGTTTTGAGTAGTTGCTTGCGTACTGAAAGTGTCACCATCTTCACTAGAGTTGGTAATATTAACAGAATCATTAGTCATTAGAGTCATCATCAGAAAACTGAGGTGTGATATTCCCAGTTTCAGGAAGCAGAGGCTCTTGAGAGTTAATGGGAGACTGTGGAGCCTCCAAGGGAATATTTGGTAGGCCAGGTGAATTACCTTGGGAAAGTTCTTGTTTATCAGGATCAGCTGCAATAGCGGAAGAGTAAGCACTAATCACTGGGGCATCGTTAGGGTCAGGTATTGACTCATCGGGTTGAGGGGAGTTGACAACTTGGTTATGCGAGGTGAGTGATCCCTGGACAAGGGGTGAATTAGACTTATTTGTAGAAGTAGAGTAGGGAACATACTTCTTGTTATGAGAAGGCTGGGCCATAATCTCCTTAACATTATCTGGGATAGTAATGGGAGTGATCCCATTAGCTATTAACAAATCATTTAAAACCTTTGAGCAGAGTTGCATGTCCCCACCTGCAATGTCTTTGGCCATCGTATACATTAGTTGCGCACTCGTCATATCCCCGGCTGAGGATACCTGAGACATGGGAGGTGAGGTTGAACATTCTTGTTTCGTTTGTGTATGTGTTGTAGGTGAGGGTTAGATTGGGGCACTCCAAGAGGGGCAGAATTCCAAACATTGGAACAAGTAGTAGAGACCTGAGGAGTCCCACTAGATCCAGGCAAAGCTGGGAAGGAAGTTTGGGACATTGTAGGAGGTGTCTGGGGAGTGGTCTTCGTAGAAGTGGAGAGTTTCTTAGCTTCTAGAATCTTCTGTATTTCCTTTTTCCTCTCAGGACAGAGAGCAGAAACAGCATGGTGTTTTCCATTGCAGAGGACACACTTGGGCTTATTTTTTATTATTAACAATCTCTATAAAACATGTTTTGGGCCCGAGCAAATGCTGCAAATCTGTTTCTTGAGTACTGCATTTGTTGGTGGTATGACCAAAGGCATAACATTTAAAACATTGTGTAACACTGACAAATCTCTCAAGAGAGATTTGATCAGGTGCACATCTGGTGCCAAAACATTTGAAGCCATTTTGACACACTAGTTTGGCCTCTTCAGGTGTCACAAGTTACCTGGTGTTGCAGGTTTGGGAATTTATATCTTTTGGGCAGCGAAATTCGAATTCCTGTATTTAAAATCCCAACAATTTCCTGACGTGCTATCTTCATAGCGTTATT